AAACAATTAATCTTCCCTATAAGAAATTACATGCACATCAAACAATTAATCTTCCCTATAAGAAATTACATGCACATCAAACAATTAATCTTCCCTATAAGAAATTACATGCACATTAGCAATTAATCTTCCCTGTAAGAAATTACATGCACATTAGCAATTAATCTTCCCTATAAGAAATTACATGCACATTAAACAGTTAATCTTTCCTCTTAATGAGTTAGAGAGAAAACTAAATAAATTACGTGAAGACATAATAAATATAACTGACAAAAACTGAAAAGAAATAAAACTGCACACAGCATACAATCCATTCCACATATATATATATAACTCCAACAAAAAATTAATTTTGTCAAAATAACAAGTCTGCACCTAAACCACAGAAGCTTAAAACTATTACTCCTAATCATAAAATTTGTACTTCCAGTATGTATATTCTATCATTGAAATAAGACAACCCATAGCGAAACTGTACAAACCCTTAATTTCTTGCTCTTAAGTTATAATTTCTATACAGAAAACCCAGAACTCTTTTTCATCTTACACAAAGTCTCTGAGTTCTTTAGGGTTTTTCTATCACTCTTAATATTCTCCTCCCCCTCACAAAACTAATACTCTTCTCATGCTAGATACAAGTATTTTTAAAATTACTATATCCTTAATACACAATTTTACATTTCTCAACATTGAAACTTTCCCATTTTGGTACAGCCATCAAGAGTCATTTTGAAAAAAATGACTCTCAAAAGCATCAACCCTTACCAGCATCTCAGTATCATCAGCTTTCCAAGTGAAAATATTAAATAACAAAAAGCTTACAATAAATTCCTAAAGGACCTTACTAGTTCTATTCTACTGATCTCTATTTCTTGTCTTTCACTACTTAGAATGTTTCTTTCTTATTCACTTCTTAGCTTTTTTTATCAATTACAAAAACATCACTTACAAATTAATCACTTCTATAACACCTTATGGCTCTGCAAAAAATAAAAATACATATCACTTGGGGGTGTCATCATTTAAAAATGTTAAAGACCTATGAAACAAACTCCAACAAATTGGTACAGCAAAAGAAAAAAAAAAGTCTAAATCCATGCTGAGAATCATTAATTAAAAGATAATTTTCCAAATGACTCCTGACAATATATTTCAACACCTTGCTCACTAAAGAAGTCAAACTTAATAGACCTAGAATTTCCTTGGTCCTCTCATAAGCATTTCTGTTTAAAAGAGGATTGTGCTAGTAATCTTTTAATATTCAGAAACTTTCCCTGTGTAAAGAGACTTTTGAAAAATAGCAGCTAAAGCCCTAACTAGTTTTTTACTAAGCTTCATAACCTTTAAAAATACAATGTCTCAGAACTCCAAGGTTTATTCTCCAGATGTTTTCTAGCATTTATAAAACTTTTTGTTCAATAGAAAATGAGGAAAACCCTCCTTTTCATACTACACATTTAAATTACAATTATTTATGTATACTAAGCTTACAACTTTTCAAAATAAAATGAAAGGAAAGAAAAAAAGGGGAGGGTGAATTCAGCTCTTGGAAGTAAAAGATATTATTATTTGGATCTGTAAATTTTTTTTTTTTTTTTTACACAGTGTATTACAACTTTCATATGAAGATGATTTACCATAAGAACCTTCTATGCCAAAAAAAGATATTGTGAACTTTAACTTTCTACTCAAGTATATTTTCTTTACCCTAATTACTGAACTTTATAAGAATTACTTTCCTAGAATACATTCAAAATAGTTTATTTCATCATTTTTATTGTTCTATTTTGTTTGTTACTTTATAGTTACTGAAGTTGATCCTATTATTACAATATTATGCAATCTTTGGTATCCCTAAAATAATTTCTTCTCTACATAGAATAATTAGCTATGATGTATATTTGACATTGATTTTTGTACAATGAACAAGAACCTTAAATTGTGATGTTTCAAAACTGCTTATCAAATGCTTAAAGTTTGATCTGATAGTGTTGAGTCCAAAAACATGAATGTAAGAAAAAACACTAATAAAAATATAGGAACTTATTAATATAAAATAATTAATTAGCAAAATTTTTATTGTTTGTGCTATTACTAATGTTCTTAATTATTTAGATCCTGTTGGTAAAATTTAAAAACAAATCAGGTCCCAAATTGTTTTACATTTGGATGGTTGCTTATGAACTTGACAATCTAAATACTAATGCTAATGATCACCTGCATGTAATTATGCATGTTTTAAAATGTTGTATACCATTTTGTAATGAATAAACTAGTACAGACTGCATCTCCATTTTCTCAGTAATTTTGAATACCATAACACAGAAATTCAACAGGCAATCGTATTTTGTCACACTCAAATTGTTTAGATAACTTTTTCAGTATTAAGGCCTTGATGAACTTATTTATGAGTTACTAATTCAAACTATAGTTAACTGAAATTTATGTGGAAAACGTGATGACTAATAGTAATAATCAACTTCATGGACACAGCTTGAAACTTCACATGCAACTATTAATGTTAAGTGAATAATCTTAACTGTAACATTACACAATTGTAAAAATAAATAGATATTATGAGCTTCAATCTAATAGTAATAAGGTTTTCATTAAGTTTTTTATTGTTTTGTACGAGTATGTGTTGTTGTTACCATATTTTTTTCTATAAAATTAAGCAATCACACAATATAATTTATATTATTATCTATTTCACATTTTAAAATAAAATTGTTTGAGCTAGTACTAATAACAATAGTAGTACTAAATGTTAATAATAGAGCATCCACACTTATATGTATATACGCAAGTGCATGGTTGTTTTCTAAATTAAAAAGTATAAGTGGTACATAATAAATAAATAACTCAAGTTCATGCAACATACAAACATCATGTGGCATTGAACTAATAACAATAAACTTGAAAATATCGATACTTGGTGTAGTTATGAAAACTTTCCAGATATTAAAATTATTGTTTACTTCAATTTTCAAACAAAACATTCAATATTTTGAATTCATTTTTAACATTAGTAATACTAATAGTAATTACATCATGTTATTTTACAAATTAACTTACTTTAATTTTTAATAAATTTGTTGCGTCTAAAGGTTTAAAACAGAATTATCGTCATTAATCTTACCTTCACTATGCCCATCCACAACTCTCATAAATCTGTAAATTATATCTAAAAAACTGCAAAAGAAAATAATGTTTACGACCTTTATCTTCTTATCCATTCTTGACTCTTAACGCACCACGCTCCGGAATACAATGCATTTGCTATTTATTAATATAACTACTCCTAAGCCCTACAAAACCATGTGTACAAGCCATGCTTTACTGTTAGTTTCGTAGTAATAATAACGAGAGATGATGACAGTTTTGACGTATGATTAATAATGCTTTTTACGCATTACAAACCATTGTTTTGTGTTTTACTTAATTTTAATTCTAATATTATTAAAGTATACCAAATATAAACGAATTATTATTAAACTTTGTAGGTGTCACCACTAACAAGATGCGGAAACAAAATACAATAAAATGAATTTTTTTCTAATAGAAAATGTACGAAACAAAAAGGATTTAATTTACTACTTTCAAAATAGTTATGAGATAGTTATTGCAGAATAAGTTTTCAAAAAGTTTGATTTCGAAGTGGATAATTCAATTTTACTATCATTCAGCTT